CTTTCACAGGCCTGCAATTGCACACAGGAGACCACAGAGTTCTCTTGGCCTACAAATATCATCTCTAGATATCTCTCCAGCTTCAACAAGGGATAACCTACTATAAAACCTCGATAGTTCTACATGCCCAAGGGTAAGGGTTTTGCGCATAACCTATGTCATAAACCACCTAGCTCTTGGTCAGTCAATACGCACACTCCCACTGAAGTGCATATTCCACTATAAATTTTCATTTTTACAAGCCCTCTAGGCCTTTAAAGGCCACAAAACCCTACAGTGTCTAAGAACTAATAATAGGAGAAAATTTTATTCTGGTGAATTTGATGATTTTTGTCATGAGCATGGTATTGCTAGGCAATTGATCTTTCCTGGGGCGCCTCAACAAAGTTTTATTGCTCTGAGGACGAATCATACCATTATGGAGTGTGTCAGGTGTATCTTGAGTGCTATTAGGTTAGAGCAGTGTTCTTGGCAATAAGCAGTTTGTACAAGTTTTCCTAATTAATGGGTCCCTAGTGTTTCGATAGACTACAAAACACCAGAAGAGGTTTGGACATGTAAACTTGTTAATTATTCTTTCCTTTGTAACTTTAGGTGTGACTTTGATTCCAAAGGAGAAGAGAACTCAGTTGGACGTAAAATCCAAAAGTTTATTTTTCTTAGCTATGTAGATGGAACAAAGGGGTACATATTGTGGGATCTTACTGACTGCAAGATTATTGTTAATGGAGATTTTCAATGAAAATTCTATGCAGAAAAAGAAATTTGAGCAAGATGCAAAAACTATTGAGGTGAAATGCACATAGAGAACTAGCTAGATGGTGGTCAGGATCAAGAGCCTGAGATTGTCCAAGAGCTTGAAGAATATTTAGGTGATGCTGAATTAATAATATCCAAAAGACCTAAAAAGGATCTTGTATGGGTTAACGTCTATGTCTTGTCATATGCTTACCTTCCGAGGAGGGTGATCCAGTTTCTTATTATGATTTGTGAGGCATATGAGGTCGATGAAGCCAATTAATGGAGAGCATCCATGGTAGAGGAGACGGAAGCCCTGTGAAAAAATTAAATATGGGACCTTGTTGAATTACTGGAGGGGCGAATGGAAATTGGTTTCAAGTGGGTCTTTAAGAAGAAGAAAGGTCCTGATGATGTTGTTGAAAAGTATAGAGCTCGATTGGTTGTGAAAGGTTATGTTCAGAAGTCGAGTATTGATTTTGACGAAATTTTCTCGGTTGATGTGCACATGACCACTATTACAGTTGTTTTGGTTATGGGTTATGGGTTATGGGTTTTGGCTATTGTTCTTGATTTAAAGTTGGAACAATTAAATGTGAAAATTGTTTTTGTGCATGGTAATTTAAAAGAGAATTTTTATGACCCAACCTAAGGGTTCTATTTAGAAAGATAAAGAGAATTTGGTTTGTAGGTTCAAGAAATCATTGTATGGGTTGAAACAGGCATCGAGGTGTTGGTACAAACAATTTGATTCTTTCATGTGGAGCTTGAATTTTTATAGATGTGAAGCTCACCATTGTGCTTATTTTCATTGTTTTTTTTAAGGAAGGAAAGCACAAAGCTAGCCTTATTTGAAGGAAATTAAAAAGCGAGGTATTTTAGAATATTTCTTTCTTCTCTCTCTTTCCTCTCTCCCTCTTCTTACCAACTCGATCCTCAGACGTCATGGGAGATTAAAGATATGCTACCATCACATCAACAAGGATCAGCGGTGTATTTTCATTGTTATGGTGATGGAAGCTTTACTATCTTGTTATTATATGTTGAAGACATAATTGTTATAGAACCAAGAGAATAGTGCAACACGTAAAGCTTAGTTGGCCTACTGGCTAGGGAATTTGAAATTCGGGAGTCGTTAGTCGAATTCTTGGGATGAGTGTACTTAGGGACATGAAGAATTGAAAAATCCGGTTAACTCATAGGAGTTATGTGGACAAGGTTTTGCGGTACTTCAATGTGCACAAGGCTAAACCAGTTAGTACCCCATTTCCTATGCATATAAAGTTTTCAAAACTATGTCCTTACATTAAAATAGAGAAGATACAAATGTTTCAAGTACCATATTCATCAGCAATAGAGAGCCTCATGTTTGCTATGGTTTGCACCAGACCTGACATAGCACAAGCAATGGGCTTTATGAGTAGATACATAGCAAATCTTAGCCATGATCATTGGACTGCTGTGAAGTAGATCTTTGATAATTTTAAGGGAAATTGTAATGCTAGTGTTTGTTATAATGGGACGGATTTGAAAGTTGCCGGTTATGTTGATGAAGATTTTGTTGGTGACTATGACAAAAGAAGGTATCTTTTTCTTTGGGAGGTGGTGCAATTAGTTGGTTATCGAGGTTGCAATTTGTGGTGGCTTTGTCTACTTCGGAGGCTGAGTGTATGTCACTTACTCGTGCATCTAAAGAAGCAATTTGGCTAAGCAAGTTACTTGGTGAGTTCCGAATTGTGCAAGAAGGTATGCCTCTTCATTGTGACAATCAAAGTGCCCTATTTTTGGCAATGAATCTAGCTTTCCATGATTGGACCAAGCACATTGATGTTCAGTACCACTTTATATAAGGTTGCAACCTTAAAATGTAGAATCACATATGCACCTCAAAAATCTATCGGAAATGTTGTTTTAATGTTGAAAATTCCCTCTAATCAATCATCTCGACATTGAGATCTATAAATATGAAAAAAAAAGTTTTTGAATTTCGGAAATAGTGCATCTTGCAACACATTATCTAGACCGTCTATTTTCAAGACATTCATATATTTATATATCTATTTTTTTTAACATTTTTGGAATTTAAAATTTTCTAATTAGGCATGACATTAGATTTTAAGATAATACTAAGAGTTTTTTACAACAAAATTACATGTTATGATAAAATTTTAAGGTGAATTGGATTGTTAAGGTTGCAACCTTATAGAAACCGCACCCCATATATATATATATATATATATATATATATATATATATATATATTATGTTTAGTTAGTTTAGTTAGGTTAGTACGTACGTCGTCGTCGTCTCGTCGACGTA